GCTCAGCTGGGAACTCATCTAGCACTAGCAACGGTCCTGCTCTGGGTTAGAGACCTCTAGAGAGCCTTTTCTTTGATCCTGTGGCCTGGTTCAGAGCTTTCCATCAGCTCCCCCCATGCACCAAACCTTCTGAGCAGGCATGGGATATTACCAAGGCTGTGACCCCTCAAGTGCAGCAGGTAGGGACTGAGACCCCAAGAATAGCCTGATGGCAAAGGTTGGGTGAAGGTTGTCCTCAGCAGGTGAGCTAGATGGCTGGGAACTGAGAAGGCTGCTCTGAGGAGCTGACTGGTGGCCTGTTGCTTTTGTAGCCACGTATTTAACTCTGCTCCATCTTCTCCCCATGCAGTGAGAAGGCTTTGCAATCCAACCACTTTGAACTGAGCATCAAAACAGAAGCCACTCAGGGGCTGATCCTGTGGAGTGGGAAAGGGCTGGAACGATCGGACTACATCGCCCTGGCCATAGTGGATGGCTTCGTACAAATGACCTACGACCTCGGCTCCAAACCTGTCATCCTACGATCCACGGTCCCAGTCAACACCAACCAATGGATTCACATCAAAGCATACAGGTGTGAAGACCACAGCAGGAGGGGAGAGCAGGGCCATGGTAGATTGCTCTGGGATAGGCAAACTAAGGAGCTTGAGTCATGGCCGTGGCTCCATGGCCTGTGATCCCCAAGGGTCACTCCTCTTCTTGGATGATAATAATAGAGGAGAGGCATGTGGGCAGTGCCGCGTTGGAGGGGTGCGTGTTGTGACACGTTGGGAAATGTCAAAGGGGCAGGCTGAAGGAGCTACAGAAGGTTCATGCCTTTTATTTTAGCTGGCTGAGGGTTTGACATTCTGTTCGTGTTGAGCCCGAGCTGTCCTTTTTATTTTTATTGGTGGTGGGAGTGGTGAGCAGATCATGCGGCTCACATGCCAGGGATTTCTGCTGATGGGGCTGCAGAGTGCGGGAGGAAGCTGTGGGTGCTGGCAGGGCTGGTGATGGGGCTGTGGGATACCCAGGAGATGCCAGAGGGGAACACTCACCACCAACTTTGTGGTGCTTCCCAGGGAGATGTCACACCAAGGACTTCTCTGTGCTACGTGGCCCAAGGGAGAGCTCTGCTCTCCAGGTGGAGAAAGACTGATGGCACCTCGTGTCTGGATTTAGTGTAAAGCAAAGAGCAGCTCTGAGTTTTTTCCTCTAAAGTGGCTACTCATCTTCTGTTTCTTCTTCCCTTCCTCTGGGAGCAGGGTACAGAGAGAAGGTTCTCTTCAAGTCGGCAACGAAGCCCCCATTGCTGGTTCTTCTCCGTTGGGTGCAACACAGCTGGATACAGATGGGGCTCTATGGCTGGGTAAGTGGGTGTGGAAAGGCTGAACCTCCCCTGCACCCCTTGCTGAGGGGCTCAGAGCTGGAGCTGAGACCTTGATGTTCCCTCACTTGGTTCAATGGGACACCTTTGCCTCCCAGGTGGCTTTGAGAATTTTAAGGTAAAAAGTTCCCCACTCGTTCTGTGCCTCCCAGGGCAGGACAGCTGAGGGATGAAGGATTGGCGTTACCAAATGCCAGTCCTTTCCATGTCCCCATGTCCCCTGAGGAGAGGCTTAGCTGGCCTTTGGCTCAGGATGCCCTACTGCCAATGGCATGGAGCATCCCCATCCTCTTCAAACTGGGAGTGCTCCCAACAGCCAAAGTCCCTCCTGTGTGGAAGCCCCTGTTAGTTCATGAGCCTCCCAAATATCACTTCCTTGGGTGACTCTGGTTCCTAAAGGTGAAATGGCTGAATTGGAAATATGTAAATACCCAGATTTTAAATATTGCTTTATTTGCATAACAGACTGAGCAGACATGCCAGAAGGTTCCTGTGTGTGCAGCAGAGTCAGCTCCCTTTCTGTTGACACAAGTATTTTGATCCTGCAAACAGAGTTTGACCCATTGACTGTCTCTCACTCTGCCTGAGGCACAGACAGAACCTGGATTTGTCCTCAAATCAGCAAAGAATCCACCTCTAAGTGTAGGATAATTGTGCTGAAATACAACCAGGACTCATCTGAGCTACCAGGATAGTAAAGTCCTTTTTGGAGCCTGAAGGGATGAAAGAAAGAAGCCCAGTGACAGGGGATGCTGCAGGTCCTGGGCTTCCTCCATCTCTTGAGGAACTTGCAGGACTCAGCTCTCCATCTCTAGGTTCAGCACTGGGCTTTTCCTCAGGCAGGTGCTGTAGCAGTCTGAGCATTCATGATTGTGAGGGAGCACAAGGGCCGCAGAAATCGATGGATAGAAATGTTCATCTGGGGATTTGGATCATCTGCAATGAAGAAACAGTGAATTAGATTCTCTTCACGCTTTTTGGAAGCATCTGTTCTTATCTTCCCCGTCTTAAACCTGTAGTTTCAGGTCTAAACTGACTTAACAAGGAACTCATATTTAAAAATGTCACCTTACCTCTGAAAAGGCTGTAGCCCAGCTGCCTTTTCTTCTTCTGGAATCAACCCAGAAGTTAAGAGGAAAGCAGAATTTTTCCCTGAGAAATTTCTGCTTGGCTTCCTCACTGTCTCTTCCAAAGGTTTTGTTTCAGCCCTTTTTAATTTCAGGGCCTGGAATGAGCTGTAGTTGACATTTCAGTGACTGAAATAAAATTCAGTTTGAATTTGAGGACCAATCTCCAAGGAAATGAAAGATTTTTTCAGTTGAATTGGTATTTTTAGAATGCAAGTTACTGTTTTAAAAACATCTTCAGGAAACCAGTACGTGTTGGTTGGAACTGGGATTTCTGTGATTTAAATTAAAATAAATACTTGGCCAGGAAAGAGGATTTTCCCCACTGTTGAGGAGGACATTCCCCTGCGTGTGTGCACATGGGAGCGTGTGATGTCACCTGGAGCAAGTTGCTGGCTCACCCAGCAGCGTGTCCTTCATCCTCCCACCTGACCTTCTGCTCCATCTCTTGCAGGGGGAATGGAGAAGCTGAACGTGGCTCACAAGCTGCCCAAGGCCTACAGCACTGGCTTTATTGGCTGCATAAGGGACGTGATTGTCGACCGCCAAGAACTACATCTGGTGGAGGACGCTTTAAACAACCCCACGATATTACACTGCTCAGCCAAATAGAGCCCCAGGGACCCTTCCTTCTCCTCCCTCCCTCCTGCCTATTGCTGTAATTATTTTCTATTTTTGTAAACTTATTGCTTTTTATATTTTTGAGGGGGGAGGGGGGGGGAAAGGGAGGGGAGGAAACACCTTTTCTTTTGGGTTATTTGTTTGGTTGCAGTCTATCCAGGTCAGTCAGACTCTTAATCAAAACAGCAGCAACAAAGAACAAACCTTGAACCAAGTCTCCGAGAAGTGACAGAAGAACTTCCCCATTGCACCTGCATTGTAAATCTTATTCATACTTGAAGCTTCTTTTTTTTGGGTTATTTTTCTCCCACTTTACTTGTGTTCTTGAGTTGTTGTTCACACCTGCGGGGAAAAGGGTGCTGGTGAGATGGGTGGCTTTTGTGGATTCACCACCTTCCCACCTCTGGCCTGGCCCCAAAGCCCCATCTGCAGTGTTGTGGAAGTGGCCATCAGAGAGAAGCTGGGAATTGCCACCTTCCTTTGGAGCCTGGCTCTACCAAACCTTCTCCTGGTCCTGTGTTCACCCTGTCTCCCTCCTCCTCACCCCCTTCCTCTCACTATAATTTATGTGTGTAAGAATCTCAAGTGCTTTTCTCCTTTATGCTCTGTTGAAATCAGGGATGCCATGCACTGGAAGAGAGACCAAGGTCTGCTCTGAGCAGGCAGAAAAGCATTGCTCTTTGGTTGTCTTACGACTGTTTGCTGGACTGAGAGGTGCTGTGGGGGAAATGTTGATTTCTCTGTTGGTTCTCCTCCTCCTCCTCCTCCTCCTCTTGGACATGTGCAGAAGCAGCTGTGAAACCTCATTTCCACGCTTTGTGTTTATCCAGACATGTCCTAACCATCTGCTTGCCCTGGTTGCTCTTCCCAAGAACTTCTGTGTACCAAGCGTTGCTTGTACCAGCGAGAACTTGCAGCATGTCTTCAAGAGCTGGAAGTGCTCTCCCTCTTCCAGCGCTGTCAAACGGGCTCTGAGGGCACAGGGACTGGGTCCCTTTTCACTTTAAAAAAAAGAAAAAAATCTGTTGGTTGTGTCCTTCCATGACCCATGTCTGTTTTCCAGCCTCCGGGCATGACTTGCCCTCTGTCTACCATATGGATTCATGCAGCTGGCCAGCATGTGAATCTCTGGAGAGCTGGTATTAAGCCTCTCCCATGAAGAATAATTGGAGTTTTCCCTTTGACTTCAAGTTTTTGCAATGCCCAGTGCAATGCAGGGTCTTCCACACCATGATGAAAGCTCCTCTGGGTACCACCAACCCAGCAGCGATGGCTGAAATGGGAATGGGGTGTGAGTCAGCTGTTGAGGAGTGTCTGGGAGGAGGTTTGGTTTGTTGGGTTTTTTTATTTCAAGTGTTTTCTTCCTCCTTGCAAATCTTGAAAGCAAATACTGTGGTGCCAGTGACAAAGCCAGTATGTGTGTTTCTGAATGAATGTCTGTGTCTTCGCGGGTGGCTGTCGACCAGCGCACGCCTGCGTGCAAAGATGGAATCTGAAAGCAGGAGAAGATCAAGAAGATTGCAACTCTGAAAAGAAATTACCTGCTCCATTCAGGTTCCTTCTCCATGGGAAGAATTTACTGATGCTGTGTAGCATCTATGTCCCTTTCCACTGCTGGGACACAACTGTGTCCCTTTCCCACCCTGAGATGGCAGCTGGCATTGCTCTGGGTGAAACCTGCTTTATGGAGCGTACAGAATTAATCTGAAGGATCTCGTCAGCTATTAAGTGTTAATTAATATCCAGGGTGCCATCGTTTTGTGGTTTTGCCATAAATTTGTAGCACACCTTGTGGTGTCCCCTTACAAAATAGTGCACCCTTTAAAAATGTTGCTTCTTGGCACTAAATTTAGAGCCATGAAAAGTCAAATTACTTGTCTCAGGGTGAGCTCTGAACACAGATGTAACAAAGGGGAAGGACAGAGAGTGAAACCACTGGGGTTTCTTTCTTCTTCTTTTCGTTTGTTTTTTTTTTTTAATTAAAAGAAATCTATGCCTTCCTCCTGACGAATCTATGCCTAATTATTGACATTCCTCTAAAAAAAATCCAGTGGTTAAATGGAGTCTTGGAGGTGTGTGTGTGTGTGTGTGGCAAGACCACATTTGAAGTGGTGACTGTATATAACTTGTGGTTCCTGGTGTGTTGTGGAAGGGATGGACTGCTGTATTTGGATCACGAGGTGTAGATAGATGGGGGTTAACTGGGACTGGAGGATGGGGTGGGATGGGAGGGAATTACCAGACCCTCAATTTGTGTTTTGAGACCACAAGTTCAAGCTGGGCAATGCGACTGTGTTGGCTGAGGGTTGAACATGCCAACTCCAGAAGGAGAGAGAGGCACAAGCAGAAGAAGCTACTGATTTTTTTCTTTTAGAAAGCCACTGAAATGAAGCCAGGGTCACTGCAAAAAAAAAACAGAACAAAACAAAAAACCAACAACAAACTACAAAACAAAAACTCTGTCTGCTTTTGCTGGGGCTTGGAAATGCCTTAAAACAGGACCTTGTGTCCTCGTTGTCAAGCATCTTGAACCAAGGTCAGATTCAGCAGTGCTCCCTAGGGGCTGTGCACTTAACTTCGGCTTTATTTTTAATAGCATTTATAACATGTATGTACAAAAAAACAAACAAACAAACAAAAAAAAAAAAAAAAAAGCTTTGGGGGTTGGGGTTTTTTTTTTGTTTTTTTTTTTTTCTTTTTTTTTTTTTTTTTTTTTAAAAAAAGGATGTCCACGTGGCTTCATTTATAAGGTAAATTAATGACCATTGTGAACTGCTGTATGAATTCTGAAGGGCAATGCACAGTAGAGGAGCAGCATGATATAACCATTACTAACTTGTGTCTTTCGTCAATCACCATGAAATAAAGTTTGAAAACTATTCAATATGTTTTTAAGGGGCCTCTTGCTTTTTTTTTTATCCTTTTTTGTAGTCTGTGCTTCACCCTTGCTCACTGGTGTATATCCATCTCCTTCCTCACTGGTGTATATCCATCTCCTTCCTCACTGGGGTATATCCATCTCCTTCCTCACTGGGGTATATCCATCTCCTTGCTCACTGGTGTATATCCATCTCCTTCCTCACTGGGGTATATCCATCTCCTTGCTCGCTGGTGTATATCCATCTCCTTCCTCACTGGTGTATATCCATCTCCTGGGCAGATCCTGGGTGAAGTCAAACCAGTATCTCCCTCTTTATTTCCCTTAGAACCAGAATAGCTCATGCAAGTACCTGCTCTATCTTCTAAATGCAACCTCTACCAATGCCAACTCAATCCTCTCCACCCAATGTTTGTAGGAGGAAGACTCAGGTGTGTCTTTACATCCCCTCCTCTGGGGCCATCTGAATGGTTTATAGAATCATAGAATGGTTTGGGTTGGAAGGGACCTTAAAGCTCATCCAGTCCCAACCCCCCTGCCATCAGCAGGGACACCTTCCACTAGACCAGGTTGCTTAAAGCCTCATCCAGCCTGGCCTTCAACACTTCCAGGGAGGGTTTCACTTATTCAAGTGTCCACTAGCTTTTCATTCTTTGCCATGTATGTTTTTATCACTTCTTTCTTAGGTAGCATTTTTCAAAAGAGGCTTTGTAGCCTGTTGACATCACACCATGTCCACAAGACTGAAATGATGCTTCTGCAGCCTCCTTCTCACTGAGGGCAGCAGTTTCCCCTGGGTTTTATGCTCCTTAAATTCCATGGAAAGTCAATCCCAAGCATGCAAGCAGGATGTGGTTTGAGATGTACCATCATCTAAGTTCCTCCTCTAAACAGCTCTTCCTAATGGAGCCTTTCCACCTGGCCAGAGCCCTAGCTCTCTGGTCTCTGCAGATCCATCCTTCTGCAAGAAGAGAAGAGGGGGCCTACAAGAAAGCTGGGGAAGGACTTTTCATAAGGACAACTAATGACAAAACAAGGGGAAATGGGTTTAAACTGAAAGAGGGGAGGTTTAGATTAGATATTAGGAAGAAGTTCTTCACTGTGAGGGTGGTCAGACACTGGAACAGGTTGCCCAAGGAAGTTGTGGATGCCCCCTCCCTGGAAGTGTTGAAGGCCAGGCTGGATGAGGCTTTGAGCAACCTGATCTAGTGGAAGGTATCCCTGCTGATGGCAGGGGGGTTGGAACTAGATGATCTTTAAGGTCCTTTCCAATCCAAACCATTCTATGATTCTATGATGGGAGGTGGAGAATTTTGCTCAATCAAGAGCTCACGTTCAACCAAGTGGTGTGAAGTGAGACAAGAACATGGGTTTCCTGCCATTCAGGAGGCAGCTAATTTAGCAAATGAAGTCATTTTGCTACCCAGCAACGATGCCCGTTTGGTTGGTGTCTGCAGCAGCTCAGAAGGAACCGGCTTTTCCACGGACAATGAGACGCCGAAGACTCACAATGGGAAACAATGAGGCCAGTGTTCAAACAGCCACAGGGCTTGCACAACTCACAACCGGGACCATGTTTTGCTCACGATCAGCCTCTTGCTGCAGCTTCTTCTTGACAATGACCTTATTATGCCACGACAGGCGTGGACTTGCAAAGTCACTACCTCTCTGGCAGGCGTTTCACCAGCTCACCGCGAAGCCGTAGGAGGAAAAGCTGTCGTTGGCTTGGCCAGAAGGAAGAGCTGAGCTCTGGCAGTGGGACACAGGCTAGAAAAAGCCATTGTGAGGGGAAAGAGGAAGGAAAGAAGGACAGAAGCCACGTTTTGGCAGCCCTTGCTCCGCGCAGTGCTCTTGGGGACGCACCACGTGCGCATCAAGGCTGGTGGCTCCATCTGCGCTCGCTGGCAGCCAAGGCAAGCAGGTGATATCTTCAAGGAGAAGGTGGTTGGGGTTGGATGGTTTTATCCACCCTCAGCTTGCCCTGGCACCCCTGGCCTCTGGGAATGGCTAACCCTGACAGCTGGTGTGAGCCACACTTCTCTTCGCTCGTAGACATGCTGCCAGTATTGTCCTGGCTATTGGCACGTGGCATTTCCAGCCACTCTCCCACCGCTGTAGATATTCCCAGGAGAACTTCTAGATTGGAACTAAAATTATGTTTTTCTCTGCCTGCAGCAGGCAATGCCTCAGGGCTGGTGTGGAAATATCAGACTCCAGAGCTCCTGAAACTCACTTTTTCCTTCTCTTTGGGGCAGCTACACCAGGCCCACAGAAGCCTGACTGCTCCCCTGTTCCTGGGGCACACAGCAGAGCAGATGTCTCCAGAGACCATGTCGCAGCCTAACACATCTCTCCTTGCTGGGAAAGTGTAGCAGGGAAGAGCCTGGCCACCAGTAAAGCATCTCCCAGCCACCAGCTGAGACTGGGCAGGTTAGAGAGTAGATGGGGTCACAGAGACATCGAATCATTGAATGTTGTGAGCTGGAAGGGACCCACAAGAATCATGGAGTCCAACTCCTGTCCTTGTGTAG